TGCACTGCCCAAGCTGGAGTGCAGTGGAGTGATCATAGCTCACTAAACCTCAAATTCCAAGGCTCAAGCAATCCTCCTGCCTCACCCTCCCGAGTAGCTGGGACTACAGGCGTGTGCCACCACGCCCAGATAATTTCTAAATTTTTTTGTAGAGACAGGGTCTCACTATTGCACAGGGGAGTCTCCAACTCCCAGCCTCAGGCAATCCTCTCGCTTGGGCCTCCAAAAGTCAAAAGTACTGGGGGCGTGAGCCAGTGTGCTTGGCCAACACACAACTGTTTAACTCCAGTCTTATCAATCTTAAGCTAATGGTAGGCACCTCCTGAGGAATGTTTACAGGTTTTGTCTGTCCTTTCTGCTTTATGTTCCCTTGCTCTTACAAGACAGCATATTCCCAGTACATAGAAAGGAAGAAAAAACCTGAAGACATTTGAAAGTCAGTTAAGGAGGGAGTGATCCTGATGATCCTTACCCTCTGTAATGGGTCTTCTAGAAGCTGGATGGCACTGCTGATGGCTTCCTGTGGCACATATGAGGACTCTCCATTGCCCTGAATCTCCAGCACTGCCATCTGTGGTAAGGAGGAATAAAAAGCAAAGTAGAAACCTAAGAACCTCAATGCTCCCACAATCACTCCCTCAAGACCAGTACCTTAACTGGTCCTCCCCTCCATTTCCCCTTCGATCTTCTAATTTGCCTCTTTTTCCCCCTTCCCTTCTGGTCTCCTCACCTCCAGTGCACACATGCCAAAGGAGTAGATGTCCACTGCTGTTGTCACATTAGTGACTTCTAGGAAAAACAGACAAGGCTTTGGTTAATCAGAGGATTGGGGGCTGGGGTTGGTGTAAATGTAAGAAAGAAAGAAAGAAAGAAAGGAAAGAAAGAAAAAACAGAAGAAAGAGAAAAAAAGAAAGAAAGGAAAAGAAAAGAAAAGAAAGAGAAAGAAGAGAAAGAAAGAAAGGAGAAAAGAACAGACAAGACAAACATTTGGTATGCTAGTAGAGAAGGACCAGAAGTTTCAGTTATGCTACTTGTATACCTCAGGTCACAAGGTGCCAAACCAGGAGGATGAGGACAGAGCAGAGAAACCAGAAGCC